AACAGCGGAAGTCGTCATTTGCGATTAGTTAACCAAGGTGATACGATGAACGCGTATTCAAATGATGAACTGGCCCACATGCTTGTAACGTATGGAGCTGCAGACTGTAACTGACAAACGCCACTCAGCGGTTGTTACAGCAACGTTATCCGAACAGGCCTGCTCCACATCACACGACCTTCGCGAGTGTGAACAGAAGGTTACGTGAGACTGATTATTTAACGATAGATAAAATGAAACGACAGCGAACGAAGAGAGACTTGACAATGAGAAGGCAGTCGTAGGTCCGGCAGAAGACAATCCAACTACGAGTATTCGAGCGATAGACCAACAATTGGGTTTATATCAATTCATCGTCTGGAGGGTATTTGCTGCAAATCAAATGAGGGCATACCATCGTCATCGCGACCAGTTATTACAGCCTGAGGATTATCCACTCCGGAGAACGTTTTCTACAAGGTTCCTGCAACAGAGTGTTACAGATAGTGCATTTTCTGCGTCCGTATTGTTCATAGTTGAAGCATACTTCACACGTGAAGGAGCCTTCAATCAGCATAAGGCGCATGCGTAGGCTTTGGCGAACCGTCATCGTGCGCAACTACTTTCAGCCCAAGAGCGTTTCTCGGTCAATGTTTAGGCCAGCATTCTTGGAGACTACCTGGCTGAACTCCTCACGTAGATTTTTGGAAGTCTTTTGAACGGCAGGGCATACCTTATCTTCTTGCAACAAGTCATGCCCGAACTTCTTGACGCAACATATATTCATCAGTCGTTTCGCTACTCCCTGTGGTACCAACATGTCGGGGACTCCTCCACATTGCACTATTGCTGTCCGTTGACGCCGCCAATTCATTTGGGCAGAGGTGGATAAGTCCTGGTGGCGCTGTTAATTGGCCTACCAGGTCATCGGACCTATCATGCATGAACTTCTTCTGGAGTCAGGTGAAGAGTTTGGTATACGAGACGACCGTTCATTCAGTTGAAAAACTCATCACTAGAATATCTGTACCGCCGGAAGGGTATGTGACATGCCAGGAATCTTCTAGAACGAAAGCAATTCTATGCAGTGACACTATCAGGTCAGCCTAACGATTTCTGGTCGTAATTTTGAACACCTGTTGTAGTACAAGCTTTCAATAAAATGTTTTGTGTCCAATTAATGTGTTTCTGTTGCTTGACGAAAATTTGGAGGCATTTTCACCCAATCCATACGTAACTGCTGTATTAGATCTCATGTAACTGTAACTGTGCATGCCTTGCAGCAATTTCGAGAAATCTAAGGCATTAGAAATTCCTTAATGGACGGGTGAAAACTCTATAAATCTGAAGAGAACATGGGTTTTCAATTTGAGCAGGAATAATATCTGCTGAGCACCAATATATACAACCAAGCATCCAAATTTTCATTTGGGTACTGAGAAGTCTTCCTACAAGCTTCCCTTTTAGATACGCTTAGCATTGGGTTGTGTTTAACGTTCTTAGTAGTTTGAAATGGTAACTACCGATTGTGCTCTGCCATACTAGGAAGAATCGTGCGATTACTTTTTTGTTGGGTTCTTAGTCTCGAAATGACATTTTGCGTAGGTTCACTATAAACGGAACTGCATTGTTTTTAAAGGAATTAAGTGAGGCAAAATATGTAAGTATGTATGCATCTTTCTCGCATAATGGAACGATGGTATTAAGACCCTAAAAATTTGAATTGCATTCCTCCACTCAAAACTATGAAGCCGGAAGCCCAAAATTTGAATTTCGTATGTGTTTTATTATGTATTTCATATTTTGTAAAACTTTAATGAATTTTTCATTAAAAAACTCAACGATTTGAAAGGAAGCCGTGGTAACACTTCACAGAATAAAACACTTTTATCTCTAACTCTCAAAACTGTTCATGGGAAATTCTAAAATATGTTGTTTTTAAATATTTTGGAATTTTGCTATTCAAATGAATTTTATGTGGAGTATGGGTGAAGAATATTTTGTAGGAAGGGATATTTATTAGAGCTAACACACAAAATATTAATACTTAAAAGACAAAAAAATTTCGCTAAGACACTGAACTTTGATTTGATGAATTGAGAAAAGATTATTAAATACAGAAAAATTTTATCGCAGAACTTGACATCGCGTTGGGAAGTTTAACATATGCAGCTATGTTTTTTTAAAAAAATTGTGATTTTACTGTTGAATCTTATATTCCGTAAGTGTGAACGAAACGGTGATTAATAATAAAAACCAATATAAGCTAATAATATAGCTAAAGAAAGCGGGGAGTTAACAGGAGTGTGCTACAGGAGACTGGTAAACTGCGAGCTCGAAGGGAGCTTAAAAAATCTAAACAAACCATTTTGAACGATTGTTTATATCTAAAATCTTTAAGATTTTTATTTACTTATTTATTTATTTAATAAAAAATTATCAAACTATCAGTGGCTATGTGGGCATTTAATTCATTACAAACCCGTACCTACGTATGATAAATATATAATACAGAATATTTGGAGGTAATATACGTTACATTTAAATGATTCGATGAAGTCATCTTATTTTCATTAAGAAAACATTTAAAGCATTTAATGTGTCTCAAACATCTGTGTGAGCAGAAGAACAAGTGTGTTAATACACTACAGAAAGAAAATGGATGGTAGAATCTTAGCTTTCTGTTGCGTTTGAAACAACTTGCTGAATAAAAACGGATATCCATAACGAAGTTATAAAAATGTCATATGCCCTCAGGACATGCTTTAAAAGAAAATGTTAGCAAAGGTAAGTGCACAACAAATTGGGCCTTTTGGGATAAAAAGACATGTAAACAAGTATAATCGCTACTGCCTCTTTATGTTATCCAAAGAAAATACTGCAATTTATTATTAGAATTGAAATTTGCTCCCCAAATAATTGCTTCCTGTGAGATTTTGTTGCCGAACAACAGAACATTAAATAAACAGGTATCCTATTTTAAAATTTTCTACTAAGCTTTTATATACTATTTTTTATTTCTTTTAAATTTATATTTTATATTTCCTATTATCTGTTCTTCTGTGTTTAATACAAAGTTTATTTTCGATTGAATGCGTTTAGCTTTTCTTTATATGGTAATAATTTTTTGGTATACTTTCAGTATTTACATATTAACACACATCACATGCGGTTTAATATTAGGATCGGATTATGACAATTATTTCCGCTTGAAACATTTGCCAATAAAATTTTCTTTCTTTCTTTATGATAGATTTCTTTTTAATTTTTAGTATAAGTTTTAGAATGCATCTTGCGTCTTTTAGTTTATCCTACGCCCGCTGTGTGCCTCTGAAATACTACAATATGTAGGCCCACCAGCGGCGGAGCGGTAAAGTCGCTGAGCTCTAGTGGTTCGGTCCTGGATTCGAACCCCGTCGAACGGTTGCATGGGCGTTTTCGTGGTTTTTCCCACATGTAATGTGTATACGAGAAAGTTTGCATTAGAAAAGTTCTTCAACGAATGGTCGTTTCAGGCGTTGTTGGTAAATTAGCGTATATCCCATGAAGTAAAGCTTCATGTCAATACTGTTTCATCTCCATATATCTGAGATACAAAGAACATGAAATTGATCCCCTTCAGTTGGCCAAACTATTCAACTCGAACAAACAAGCGTGATCATCACTTTTCCCATGCAAAGGTTCTGAATTCTTGTGCATCTTCTTTGGATACCATGAGCAAATCTTTTTTATATAGACCCGGACATTTGGCAGCAGTGTTCTTCTACGTATCCGCGCAGCTGAGCTCCATGTCTACATCTGATACAATTCACTCCACAAGTAGGCCTGAGAAACTTCGCTGGGGCCAAGCCAACAGGGATTGTGAAGTAAATAGAGATTTTGTCTTCAGTGACGAATCCAACTCCTAGCTCAGTATATATGATAATAGAATATGCTTGGAACGACGTGTAGCTGAAGAGTTTCAAGACACAACATAGGGCCCACACACGAGAACTGCTTCATTGCTTATAGTGGAATAGGTAATTAGCTGGCGAATGATTCGTTGATGAGGTCAGGCCTGTCATAATCTCTTTTAGGTTTACCATCCGTTATGGAACATACCAGGTGGGCACATTATGCGTACATCTACAATGAAACATGCTTGTGATTACATGGAAAAAAAGATCACTTACATGGAAACATAGAAACAAAAATGCCAACGGTTGAAAGCTACACTATGCCAGCGGTTGAATAGGCATGATGGGTTGCAACAAACGATTTTATTTGCAAACTGTCTGAGAGTATAGCATATTAAATGAGCAGCAATTGTTGCACGCGAGCGACGACAGATATATCATATTTATGTTAGCATACTGAGTGCCATTTAATGGGTAATATGTATTACATGAAAACGCAAATAAAACCAGTTATACTGAATGAAAAGAGTTTTTTTCCTATATGAATACGATTTTATAACTCTTTCTAAGGCTTGCATTATTTTAACGGTGAATAATTTCAGTGTTAGATTTTGACGTACTAAAAATAAATAAAAGTTCATCTTTGTATTTCTCATATTTAATTCTACAGGTATTTTGGGCAGCAGGAATGTAATATAAATCTTTTTCTCATTTACGCCGTACGCTTCTTCCATGAATAAACTATGGAATCATTCTCTGAGAAATGGCATAGTTCCTCCTGCATTCATTCGTGCGTCTTTATTGACTGGCAGATTTTTTGCATTTCTTTTCACGTATATTCGCACTTACTCCAGTATTTACACTTAATGACGTGCAAATGTAGCTTCGTTCATAAGTTTAGCACATGTATGTCTGGCTGCGCCCATACTAGGATTCCTGAGAATGCATGAAGAGAATCATGTATCCAAATGCGTATATTAATTACACAGAGGAATCTAAAAATCACGCGTAAGAAATCACAAGTCATTTTTCAGTTGCTATATTAGAAAAATTATATATAATATTATTATAAGAGCGATTTGCACTTTATTTCATATCAGTAATTATTTAATTTTCTCTTAACAGGTATTCCTGGTATCAAAATAAAACCTGTAAACAGTCTAGATGACACAACTGGTGAGTTTAGTTTGTTGTTATTTTCAATATTAAGTGTTTTTAACTTGCATTTATGTTTCCTAAAGAATTAATGATAAGAAAATCGTTGAATTCTGAAATGCAAATGTTATATTAACATATGAGGAAATATATAGAAATACAATAAAACCAAATAAATTACAAAATGATTACTTTTAAAAAAAATATTGCAGTTTCTTTCTATTGACATACATGGAATTACGAGGGCCATCCAGGAAGTAGATTACGTTTCCGTCTGTGTCCGCTAGGGGCGGGGCTAGCGCGGCCATCTTGGGGTCAGAGCGTTGCGCAGCTCAGTCTGCATCTAGCCGTGCTAGTGAGAGGTTCGTGCTGTGCTCCGTTCAGATACTGTGACGGTTTGAAATGTCTGCGTTAATTGAAAATCCCGCGAGCTGCGAGGTGCGCTCAGTAATAAGGTTTCTGACTGCAAAAAAAACTGTAAACCGATAGAAATCTATCGGCAGCTTCGTGAAGTGTATGGGGACAACATTATCACTGAAGGTGGAGTGCGTCAGTGGGTCATAAGATTTCAAAATGGCCGAACCAATGTTCACGACGAAGATCGAAGTGGGAGACCCAGCATAGTGACCGCCGAACTTCTCGAAAAAGTCGATGCTAAAGTCCGTGAAAATCGAATTTTCACAATAACGGAACTTTCTTTGAGTTTTCCACAAATTTCGCGAAGTTTGTTGCACGAAATCATCAGCGAAAAGCTTGGTTGCCACAAGTTTTTGTGCAAGATGGATTCCAAAAATCTTGACAGAGGACCACAAAATCAGCGAATGGCTGCAGCGTTGAACTTTTTGGACGCTTACCATAAGGATGGTGACTCTTTACTCGATCGCATCGTTACTGGTGACGAAACATGGGTGAACATGTGAACTGTGAAACGAAAATTGCAATCAATGCAGTGGGGGCACACAAGTTCTCCCCAAAAACCCAAGAAATGCATGCAAACAATGTCGGCAAGGAAGATGATGGCGACTGTTTTTTGGGACAGAAAAGGTGTAATTTTGGTGGACTTCCTGGAAAGAGGCACTACAATAAACTCTCAAAAGGTATTGCCAAACTCTCCAAAAACTCAGAAGAGCAATTCAAAACAAGCGCAGAGGAATGTTGAGCTCTAAGATCTTGTTGATTCACGACAACGCCCGGCCCCACACGGCAAATGTCACTCGTAAAGTTCTTGAATCTTTTAAGTGGGAGTTGTTTCCTCATCCGCCGTACAGTCCCGACCTGGCAACCGAGCGACTTCCACCTATTCCCAGCAATGAAGAAGTGGCTGGCTATGCAGCGTTTGATGACGACGCACAGCTGCAAGAAGAGGTAACGAAGTGGTTGAAGGCGCAGGCGGCCGAATTTTTCGACGAAGGAATTTCCAAGCTCGTACATCGCTACGATAAATGCCTTAATTTGTATGCTGACTATGTAGAAAAGTAGTATTTGAGTGTGGCTTTCATCTGTATATAATAAAATTTGTTTCCTATACTTTGTTTATTTTTTTATTCCAAAACGTAATCTACTTTCTGGATAGCCCCTCGTATATCTATGTTAGTGATGAAACAGTTGAAATTTCAGAAATTTAATGCAATAAATATGTGAAAGCCTTTTGCCATTTTACAGAAAAAGTACGTTCTTGGCATAAGGAGTGCAAAGCTCTAATGAAACACTTTATACTAATATATATTGGTATATAATACTAATAATAATCATTCTTTTTTTATTGGTAGAGTATTTGAAACATAAATTTTTCTTTTACATTTATTAAGCATATATACTTTTAGTTTCTAAAATTTTCGTTAAGTCGACTTATATGCAAGCTGATACTTATTTTAATAGATGATGCGGTTAATCGCGAAGACTGCAAATTCAATAAAATAATGTAAAATTATAAAAGCGATTTTAATGTATTGTAGAGTCATAAGGTTATTTTGAAGGAGACATGAAATACTGGATCTTTCAAATTCACGTCGAGTATCCTTACAACTATACCAGGAAGGCATGAGGAAAGGATTGAGAAAATAACTTATAATATATTTAAAAGATAATCAAAAATTGATTCGGGTTTCGGTTTTATTATTTTTACAACGACTTTCTTTTTACAACGTTTTATTATTTTTACAACGTCGGTCAATTTATACAACGTCTTTTCGTTTAGCATTTTACTTTAATATTTTCGTATGTTCGATAAACATCATGTAACTCTAACAGCTGAATATAACTCCAGTAATCTGAGATTCTAGTAATTATCCGGTCTGCAGCTATTCGGAGCTCCGATTATTTGGACAGCTAATTCTCTTTCTTGGGAATAACAAAATTAATTTCTTTTTAATTTGTGTACGTTTATTTATATAACATAAAGAAAATTCAGCACAAAGCATATTCGTTCTATAAAATTGTCGAATAAATTCAAGTGCACAGAGTATGTAGTAGATTACAATGTTCACAAATATTAATAGAATAAATCAAAGTTTAAAAGTAAATAAGAAAGGAAGAATATTATTCTCATTTAATATACAAGGTTTTTATAAACGAATGGCGCAGTTTTAGAAATTAATACTAAATCGATGTATTACCTTACCCGTGTAAAACCTACACCTTAAGCATTGGAAACTGTCCAAGTTTCTCATGAATAAAAATAATAAACTGCTTGTATTTTGTGCGACAAACATCAATGTAGTCACTAGTAGAAATTCGAACATAGATTAGAACGATAATTTAATTGATCTACGGAGAAATACTGAAAATATATTCTTTGAAAGTAGTCACATTTCACCAAAGAAAAGGAGATGGTAATTTAGGAGACATTGGGAAAATCTGAAAAAATTCAATTAGGATATTTCGGGTTTATTGCAGTATTTTGGTAACATAGCAGAAAAGAGACAGCCTGTTGCAAAAAAAAGCGATTTGCCAGTGAAAGAACCTCTGCTGATCCAAATCAAATTTTAAAATGTTGCGTAAGAAATTACTCTGAAATTGGATTATCGAAAATGGGAAATGAGAAGTTTCATCCGAATGATTCCTGTCACTGAAATGAAAACTATGCAAAAAAGGGACATTTCAAAAATGCGTAGGTGGAAACCTTTGCGATATCTGCCAAAATGTTTAACTCTATTGTTATGCAGTACGTGTTTAGGATGCATCATGGGAACTTGCACACATAAATGGTTTGTTCTCTTCTTTTGTTAATATTTTAAAACGCAAAAAATAATAAAATTGAATAAAGTTATGTTCCATTTCGATAAAATGCATTTATATGTATCATGTTTATAATAGTTATGTCCATTCTTAATTATATATTTACATTGATCTAATACAACTATGTTTGCAATCGTAGTATTCTAAATTTTGTGTTGTTGTTGTTACTTATGCACACTTCTCTGACGTAGTCAGGCCAAACCTACGAAATTCCTCGTGGCAAGGAGCGCTACATTACGCCTGCCGTTTGCAACAACAGCCTTGAACATCATTCAGGTGAAAGAGCTCAGTTCCGCCCCCCCCCCCCATTTTTGATAGAGAGCACTTCAGGGAGACGAGTCTGAGGGTCTCCAACCTCTCTCTCCTTCCACCAAACCAAACGAGAGAACTTTTGGCTCGATGCATATTTAGAGTGCCACCATGCCGCACAGACATTATACATTTACAAACATCCATTCCTTTTCGGAATTCGAACGCGGGAACTTCGGCACGACAATAAGCGACGCTAACCACCATACCGTTTAGGTGGCTCTAAATTGTGCAAACGTTAAAAACGGAAAAAAAAGTTATTTATAATGATATATGCATTTGTATAATGTGTTCTTACATTGAAATAATTAGCCCAAAGGAGCGTTAACCCTAAAGGGCTATTAGTATCAAAACGAGATTTTGCTTTCAATCACTATAAAAACCTCAAAAACTTTTAAAACAGGTGCCAACAAATATTATCGACCTGTATTATATTTCAAGAAATTAAATAATGAATAATTTGCATAAATGTATGCATGTTTTTTCTCATTGTGAAGAAACAACGGTACCTAAAGCCATCAAAGTTTTCATAGCGTAGTCGTCAAGTAGAATATGTACAACTGAAAGCCCGAATTTTGAATTTCGAAGTTGTTTTATTGTGTATTTCGTAATTTGTAAAGTTTTAACGAATTTTTGATTAACAAATTCAGTGATTTCAAACCCAACAATGGCAACACTGTATGGGAAAAAGCATTTTTATCTCCAGCGAAGACTGATTGTGGGAAATTCTAAAGATACACTGCTTTTAAATATTTTATTATGTAATTCAAATTTTATAAAACTTCAACGAATTTTTTATTAACAAACTCACTGCTTCCGAAGCTCACCAACGGCAGAGGGGTAAAGTCACTGAACATTGGTAGTTCGGTCCGAGTTTCGAATCTCATGAACGGGCTGGTTGCATGGGCGATTTTGTGGTTTTCGCGTTCGTGTAACGTGTATCCGAGGATTTTTGTTTCGAACGTCTTCCACGAAAGCATCCATCCCCTTAGGAAGATAGCCCAAGAAATTTTTCCGTATTGACATAAACAAACAAACAAAGATTTCAAAGAGAGCAATGGCACCACTGTATGGAAAAATAATCATTTTCCTCTCCAGCGCGCTAGACCGTCTATCGGAAATTCTAAAAATAGGTTGTTTTTAAATATTTGTAGCCCAAAGGAATAGTAGCCGGAATGTTCTCGAAACATGTATGTATGTGTAAATGAAAAAAGGCCGCTTTGTGTATAATATAAGATCTAAAAGTTTTCAGATTTTTCTATTTTTTGTAATTCCGAAATTAAAAATTATTCTTTATGCTTAAATAACGCGTATAATATTGCATGTGCATAAATGTTTCGCTTATAAAATAGTACATAAAATAAAAAAGTATTTTTCTTTTCATTTTTCTTGTACTAAATCTTACGGTAATAATACACTCATGTCCATAAATTAAGGATAATTCGGAGTCACACGGAAATCGAACTCTAAAATAA